ACAAGTTGGAGAAAATTTGGTAAAAATTGGAAATCAAAGAATAATTGTTAATTTTTTTATATATGCATATATTTATCAAATAAATACTACTTATTTTATTAAAAAGAAGGTTGCAAATAATTGTTCATTTTGTTACGTTATCCTTGATGTTGGTACTATAGCCAGATGAAAGTTTGGTTTTACTGCTATATATGTTGGCAGCACGGAAAAATTGTTCCAGCAAAATTCGCTATTTAACTAAGTTTAAGAGACGTGAGTACGAGCGTGAACTGATTAGAATAAACGTGGAAATTTAACGGGCTGTGTGTTATATTTAAAATTTTTCCAATAGCTTACAACGAAAATGAGTGAACTCTTGTGGGGAATAAAAAATGGTGATTTGGATCAAGTGCGGGATATCGTTGAGAATAAGGCAAATATATGAAACATTCGATCATCTTTTTTTCTCTGTCGCCTTTTGATTACCGCTAATCAAAAATGTCATGATATCTCTTTTGGAATTTGATATTGCATTCTTCAAATTTTACGTACTTCACTATATGCGCAAAAATTGTTATTAACCGGCTAAACCAAGCTTGTAACAAACATTTATATTTCCTTTCCAAATTTAATATATATTTTTCCCAGAAGTGAATGTATACTAAATCGTATAAATGTATTTCTGTTGATAGAATATTGATGTTAATCAAATGATCGATGGAAGGACACCATTGCATTATGCAGCTGATTATGGCCAAAATGAAGTAGTCAGATATCTTTTGGAAAAGGGTGCAAATGCAAATGTAAGTTTATCGTAAATATTAGATTAGTATGTGTGACAGAACATAAAAGCAATTTCATTTGAACGAATTTTATTTGATTACCTAATTATTTATTATCTTTACTATATTTTGTATATCACAATTTATCAATTTTATTTTAAGCATAAAAGATGAGCATTGCAAAAACTAAAGAGACAATTGATATGCAGATTGCATTGTAATGTTTTAAACAAAACTTATTCATTTACAGGCTACAGATAAACATGGTATAACAACATTATTGGCAGCAATTTGGGAAGGACATACAAATTGTGTTAAATTATTATTAGAAAAAGGAGCTAAACCAAATGGATTAACTCCAGATGGAATAAGTTATTTGGATGCTGCTGAAAAAGATGAGATCAAACAACTGCTTAAAGTTCACCAGCACAAAGCCAAATAATTCATAAAGCAATAATTTTGTTATTTTAGTATTTTAACGTTCCTCATAGGAGTATCATCATTGCTTTGTCTTAATTTCTTGCATATGACTAGACTATCATATTTATGCACTTTAAATTTAAAAAGAATATAGGTACACAAATGTAGTTTTATAATAATATATTGCACATCTGGAGCATATAATCATGAACTCATATTCTTATATGGTTACTCTTAGGGATTTAAAGTATATATAATTTCAGCTTTAAAGTAGTATATCATACAGGTTGTTTTGCAAAACTAACAGCAGAAACAAATTTATTTTTAAAGCATGTAACATTATATAGCAAAAGATATTTTGATACATTTGTAAGAAGCAGCATCGTGTTTTAAATATTTGCTATTAATTTATAAATGTTACAAATTTCTTTTATACATTTTTTACGACCTACCTACTAAAACTATGATTCTGCTTTAGTTTCATATTTTTGTGAGAAAGAGTTATAGAATATACAAAATACTGAATGCTCTATTTGAGATATACTTACATAATTTAACTGAGTTTCAAGAAAGACATGTATAAAACATAAATTAAAGAACTATCTTTATGGTACTAATTATCTAACATGTCTTAAAAGGTTTTAAAGGTGTACAATAATCAAAAATAATAAGCCAATGCATCATTGTTATGTATATCGTTGTACTTTATTAAACCCATATTTGTCATTTATTTATTACTCACTATCAATTACAATATGTTAACAAGACTTTTTATATGCCAAAATTTATTTATCAAATGTCAATTATTGCGAATAGAAAGACTGTATCTTTAATAGTCATAAAATATATATTTTTGCCGAAATATGTTCTCCATAGCTATATAAAATGTAATAACATGGAAGGACTCAGGAAGAAACATTACATTTGTAATATACAGTTTATTCTCTATTTCTAGTTTCATTAGGCCTACTTTATTTTGTAAACTGATTTATATTTTAATAAATAATAAATACAAATGAAAAGTTATCAAAATAATTTGTTCATAGATACCGTGCACGCACGTTAAAAATAACATGTCTTTTAATGATAGATTTCACACTATTTAATAGAAGAGAATTCTATATTAAGAAAAACAAACCAGAAAGTCACATTTATTAATTAATTTTTATTAGTTTTCATATAAAATATCTTATATATTATAAAAGTCGACCTCTGCAGTTAGATGCACCACATTTACATATGATAACTTTTCCCGGTATGCTTCCAACATCATAACTATAATTCCATGTTAATTCTTGACCTGCTCTTATGTAATTTAAAGCAAAAAATGCTACCCATGGAAATCTTAAATCGTGAGTATCCACAAATACATTTTGTACGAAAACATTTGGATCACATGAATGCTGTAAAATTACTAAAAATTATATTTCAAATTTATAATAAACATAAAAGTAACAAATCTTTCTTACATTTAAATAACGTCCAATATTCCCAGTTGTTTTAGCATCCATTATATAAACAGCTTCATCTTCACCAAAGAAATCTCTTACTGATTTAAATTTAGGTCTTTCTATCTGTGTTGGTTCCACTGTTGGATCAAATCTACTTGGTTCACGTCTACCGCTTCTGTTTTCTTCTTCATCACTTATAGTGATTGCATCTTGATCGTTTGAACGATTGTCATTAGTAGAAGGTTTTGTAGTGTTTTCGGAAGTTTTAGTACCGCTTCCATCTTCGCTATTTTCTTCAGATCCATCTTGAGTATTAGCATCGTCTCGTTTTCGTTTTCTTAATCTTTTTCTACATCGTTATATTCATGTTAATATATATTACGTTGCTATTCGATGATGGATTTCTTTTTGCTTACCTTATAGAAGAAGATTCTATAGAATTTACGTTGAAATTTACGTATTTACTAATGTTAAAATCTTCATCCGAATCGTTTGCGTTTGTTTTAGAATTATCTTCATCATCACTCGTCATAGATTTCTTCTTGTCGTCTGGAGTAGATAACGGCATTTCTGGCTCAAGAACGTCACTTTCATAGCCTTCTTTAATACCTTCTACTACTTCAACATAATCTAATTCTGCGAGATATTCGTCTCCATAATTTTTACCACCTTCATTGGCTCCCTACAGTATGAAAAGGAATTAAAAATGAATAAGTTTTTATTTTACTTTCACTGTTAATAATACGTGTTAATGTCAATTTTTTACCTGTTCTGTAAGCAATCTACCAGCATATATACAAATAAAAGATCCAAGAGGAATATCATTTAGGCAACGTATACCCCAACCTCGAGGAGCTGTTTTGAATACTTGTAATTTTAATGTTAATGGGTGTTGCACTACCCTATTCAAACATGTTTTTACAGCACATTTACATCCGGAATTGCACTCATAAATTCCAGTCGTGACTGGCTCTGGTAAACGTTTATACATGTAACCGACAGACGTGTTTGGTACTCTTCCGCCCAGAGTAGCACCTTGTATTGTTAACTGCCTATTTAATAAATTTATATTTTCGTAAAAAACATACCTGACAATCGTCTTCACAATCACAGCTACACAAGAAATTTGGATCTAAATTAAGATTAACACCTTCTGTTGGTTCTCTTTGAGTACTGTATCTAATAGTATCTGGTTGGGTATGATCTAATTCATTGACACATGGAATTGGTACATTTTCTACACCATAACTAAGATCCTTGAAGTTAAAAAAAAAATTTAATTACAAATATGAACTATTATTTAAGTTTAATAATCTTCAAATTTTATTCATTTACCTTTATATTGATGAAACATTTATCCAAGACAAATTCTGCTAAACAATGTACCCAGTAATCGAAATCAAATAGATCAACTGACATTGGACTACCTGTTTTACGAAGATACTGATGTAATTCTTCCATATTTCGTAATCTAACACCACATGGTGCTTGATATAATGTAATTTTTTTTCCTTTGGGATATTTACAAAGTTGTCTGTTCCAACCACAAAGTAATGGTATTGAAAGAGGTGAATACCCTCTTAAGTCATCAGGTGTAAAGGATATACCCTGAACACACTGAGGACCGCATTTATGCGGAACAAATTTCTTTGTTTGAATCTTGTTCTGTGTCTGATAATACTGAAATAGAGTGGTAATATAAAAATTGTAAAAATTTATATTTAA